TATATGTGATCGAAAGTGATGATCAGGAAGATCGTTAGGATTTTAATGTTTGTGCTTCGTATGAAAAATAGTGCTATTGTTAAATATTTTCTATGTTCGAGCTGATTTCCGATATCTGCTACTGCCTGAAATGAATTCACAAAAAATTACAAAATGAATTTTAACTGGAAAAGGAGTAAACAAATGGCACTTGAAAGTCTGGAAAGAGGTTCAACATTCTCCTAATGATACTGGCAAAAGATTCCAACTCACCACAGACTTTCTCTAGCAGTTTGTTGTCGGTTGAGCCTTGGAAAAAAATTTCTCATGAATAAATTATGGATATTTTGAGTAGCCCATAATTCAAATTTGTAATTCGATCTTCAATTTTCGACAGTCAGTGTAGATCGAAAATCGAATGCTTATATAATAAGGGACATTTACTAATAATTTTTCTCTTTTTTGTGATATTTAACATAAATCTGTGTTTTTGCTGTGAATAAAATCTCCGAAAAATTTTTATAACAAAAAACAAAGAATTTCTGGCAACGGACCTGTTATAAATAAAATATTTATATTTGGCGCTTCGTAGCCGCTTAAGCGATTTTCGGCCGAGCTCCTCCTCCAATTTGAAGTTTTGCGTCTTGATGTTTTTCCAACAAATGGAGGGACCTACAGTTTATACTAAGCCGCTTCCGAACGGCTGATGGGTTTTCTTATGAGGAGCTTTATTTCATGTCAGAAATTCACTCGGAGGGGTTGACATTCCCTGCCGAGGGGCGATCGCAATTAGAAAATTCAACTTAATTTTTTATTTTAATTAATTTTCTATAACTTTTGGATGTTGGTGAACCCGAGCCTTCCGAATGCCAGTACGCAATACTAACCACTCGGCTAACGCTGCCGCTGTTAAGAATTAATATATTTGCATTAAAAAATGTCAGCAACAACAATTGAAAAGCGACTTTTTTCAGTCTTCTCTTTCTCCCGCTTTAAGCTATCTACACAATCTTTTTCTGATCAGGAAATCTAATACAAAAAAGCCGACAAGAAAATATTTTTTTGTATCAGACGTATATTCACATGCATATGAGTAGATACATATACATTTAGCTATATATATACATACATACATACCTAACTACGTGTATGTTTCAATTTTCATATGATTATTCTAAAATGTGATTTAGAGAGGGAGAGTGAGTAGTCCTGGTATGTGCCGGCCGTTGTAGTTGGTTCCGAAACAATTCATTACTGACAAGTGAACACACAAATTGCATGCAACGAAAAACAGCTAATTGCAACTAATAATAACAGCGGCCAACAGCTATGTTGCCGGGAAGCTAACGCGGTCTTCGCATAATTTTAACTTTTTTTTTTATTTTTTAATCATTGCATGCACTGCATCTATTCCTACTTTTAAGCACACATTTCTGTTTTTCTTTGGAACTAACAATGGCATTTGAAATGCCTTCAGCTGTAGAAAAATATTCTTAAAAAGAAGTCACGAAACATATGTATGTAAATATGTACTTGTCAGTATGTGAAAAATGTTGTAAATGAAAAGAGTTTGGAGTCAAATAAGAAATACGTGAGAAGGGAAGAGAGAAGTGTTTACCATTTGCATTCGCTTCTTTAATTTGTTACCCTGGAATGCAGAGTGGAATAGATACTACCTCCTTCCTACCGCTTGAAGGTCAGTCAGAAGAGATGCGATATTATTGCTATTTTCATTGATAACGTATTGCAGTAAAGCACATACGTACTTATTTATATTAATAAATTCAATATAAGATATTTTCACTTCTTCATTAATTGTTTAAATTTGATCGAATGCAAAGGAAATGCTGTTAATCTCATTCCTTGAATGCGTACATTTATTTTATAGTTTCTTCTTCTAAGAGAAGCAAATACATGATTTCTTTCTTTGAGTAATTCCCATAGAATGCCCTGTAGTAGAGATTAGTATACGTACATCTTTAAGCCTTTGTTAGAACTGTTTTAAAGTCTTGCTTCTGACCTTATTAACGACCGAATGCAATCAATTATTTCAAAGAAATAGTTTACATTAATTAAATACGCGAATAAATAGATGAAATAACATCTATTCGAAAATCTAAAACAAGACCTCTCGTCAGACTGCGGAACTTTAGAGGAAAACCTTTAGAAAACAATGGGCAAAAATAGTTTATCTATCTCTTTTGCGAAATATAATATTTCAAATCCTGATGTCGTACTAACATCCAAAATATTTATAGAAAAGTAATTTGAATAAAATATTAAGTTGAATTTTCTATTTGTGGTCGTCCTTCGGCAGGGAATGTCAACCCCTGCGAGTGTATTTTTAACATGAAATAAAGGTTCCTCATCAGAAAACCATCAGCCGTTCGGAGGCGGCTTAGTATACACTGTAGGTCCTTTCATTTGTTGGAATAACATCAAGATGCAAAACCATAAATTGAAGGAGGAGCGCGGCCAAAAATCGCTACAGCAGTTACAAAGTGTCTATTATATATATACATACGAGTATACACAAATCCGATTATTCAATGAATTTGGGATTCTGTATTTTGATTTATTGTGAGCTTCGATCGAGAAATCCGACTGAAAAAATCTGACGCAGTATTCGTTGTTAAACTTCGGATCAGATTTGCTTTTTGTTTGAATTTCCCCATACCCATAAGATTGCCGAGCACTTTTTCGGCTCCAAGTAGAAAAATTTAAACTGAAGCAAAATCAATTCCAATGGCATCTGAAAATAATAGTTTACTGTATTTCTCGAGACTCTTTTTAAGCAGAAAAAAAAATTAATCTATATTTACATATATTAAGAGCCTGATAGTATATTTGACTTTCGCAGAAAAACTGAAGTCAATTTATATGTGTTGTAGACCAGTTTGTGGACCATGACAGGTACTGGTTTGCACCAAAAATCCAAAAGTGAACTTCGAAACGTGGGCGATGACCTTTCTTAACAGAGCATGCATTTTGATAATAAAATTAATAATGTGGCAGCGTTGTTCGCTTGTAAGACGATACATGGTTAAATTATAGACCAAACTGAAGATGTTTGACAGTGATAAAAACACAGAACGGTGTCAGCTGTTTAAACCAGTGTTGCCAAAAAAGATAGTAGCTAAAAATCACCTTTTATTTTGCCAAAGTTTACCGGGGCTATAACTATTCTCATCGGTCTAACAGTTTCCCAAACGAAAAAAAACCAAACCTCGGACGTTTCGTATGCGGTTGAAATTGAAAATGGAAAATTTTTTCGTCTAATAAACATAAGTAAGTTATTTGTAGATAAAATGATGGTGAAGTCGACGTTTCGAATAATTCTCTCGAATAAAATGGGTACAAATTCCTCGATGTTTAGTTAGAAACGGGTTTTGGTCTGCAAGTCTTGAAGCCTTGGTTTGAATATACCTACGGCTTCTTTAGAACATCAATGAATTTCTTATCGCGATTACCAACGAAGCAAAGCTTTTTTTTTTATTTCTCAACAAATACCTACCATTTCGCATGCAATACAAAACATATTCATTTTCACGAGTGGGCTGGCAACACTCACCTTCTTCTCAAACTTCATCACGCATTCGCATTTATTTTTGCATTTAGGTGTGTCAATGCGAATTAATTTGCAGTTTGCTTGGCGAAACGGAAATGGAGCTGTACATATGTATTCGTATATATGTACATATATATGTGTGTAGAAGGGTTTTATAATTTTTGATGCGTGCTTACTACCAACATATTGCAGATCTCTTACTCCCTACATGTTGTAGGTTTTTTACGCTTACGTGGGATGACAAAGATCGCTACGTAGAACAAAAGCAGATGGGAAATTGAAGTGATATAATTGCTGGAAATAATTATATGGGTGTAAAATAGTCTCTGAAGTGCTACGATTCAGGGAAAGTCGCGCTGAAGAGAGAGGAATTTAGTGAGGAAATGGGCACAACGGTCTTAGGGCATCAAAAACGCCAGCTGTCAGGCTGCTAGAAAATTCTCTGTAGTGACTTCTACGACATTCAACATAAGTTTACAATTTTCTGTGTTTCTGTGGAAAATTATGTTGAATTATATATGTTCTTGGGAGGTTAATTAGAGCTCAGTAGGAGTCAAGAGTCAACATTACTCTGGAAAGCAATCTCAAAATAGTATGGTTATATAATCTTCGAATGATCACTGGAGATATTTTAAGTAGGACTTTTTGTGGGTTCTTTGCTTCTCTATACTCACCATATAGTGAGTCCAAATTGTGTTATCTATTGGCTCGGTTATAAGACTGGATTAAAGCATCTAAAATTGACAGATTTGTCTTGATTGGAGCATACATTTTCTTAAACTTAAATTCTTCTCATAACGTACTCCTGCTCAAAAACTCATCGACTCTTCAAATGTCGATCACACTAATCTCCACTGACTTGAATATCTGTCGGAGTTTTGCTGTAAATTGATTTAGAATGAACTGACGACAATGATGATGACGACAACGACAGTATATGGAACGTAATTGAATTACATAAATGAGGCCCACACGCAAAACGGATTCGCAGTTGATTGCATCGCAAAAACAACGATCGCCAGCCAACGAATTGTCGGGGGAGAGCAAGAGCAATGACGATCAAGTAACTCGTATGATCGTTGGACCGATCAATCGAATGACTGATCAATTCAATGGACGGCCGGCAGCAGTCAATGGCAAATCAGCAGCAATATTCAATTGAGTTATGCATATATGTCCACATACATATGTTTGCAGGCTTAATACTCTGCCCTCATGTCGCCCGCAGACGCATCACACAAATGCAGTTGAGCTGAATGAATTCAACGATCGGCCGTTTGTCTCCTCGGTCGTTGATTGTATTCGCATATAAATACATATTTTTCCTAGTAGCTGCTGCAGTTGCATATTGAATTACAATTTTGAGTTAGTTTTTTTTTCTGCTTTGATAAATTTCGTTCCTTTTTTCCTTCGAAAAAGTAATAATAATTTTTCATTGTCTTTCTCGTTGCAGTTTTGTATCAGAAACGCTACCGTCGCGAGCGTAAAATGCGCATACGCTACCAACAGCAGCTGGACGGTGGCAAACGAAAATTGACACACCCATCAAATGCGGGTGGCAGTAGTGGCGGCAACAGTGGTAGTAGTGGTGGCGGCGGTGGTGCCGCAGGCTCTAATGGTCGTGATGTTGAAGAGGGACACAATAGTGTGGGTGGTGGTGAATGTAAAAATAATGGTGGTGAAGCAGCGACACGTAAAAACGAAGCAGGTTAGTAATGGTGTTGCTCGAAAAATATTAAAAATAGAGCAATAAAAAATAAAAAAGGAAAAGTTTTTTTAAATTTATTATTTAAGAAATCAGAAAATATATAACATACTAAAAAGCATTAGAACATAAATTATTAAAAATAAACATACCGAATCGGAAATATACAAAATATATTTTAAAAAAATATTTATAAAAATATTAATAAAAAATATAAAATAATATTTTTTTTTTAATATTTTCATAAATTTTCACAGAATAGCAGAAAATAAATATAAAAAAGCACGAAATTCGGGAAAGTAACAAAGGAAATAATATTAATTTGAATAATAAAAAAATTAAAAAAAATATAATAATATTAGGAACTCAAAACCATGCTTAATTCATATGAAATAATAAAAAGTTTAGAAATAATTCAAACAAAAAGAAATTAATTAAACAAAAACTAAAAGTGAATAAAAAGTGAAATAATTTTATAAATAAGTACATATTTGAAATCAAATATTAAACTAAAAAATTTCAATGATTTAATATTTGAATTAAACTTAATACTTTAAAAGCCAAAAAACTAAAAAAAGACAAATTTGATTTCTAAAACAAAAATAAAATATTAATAACGAATTTTATAAATAAAATAAATAATTATATATAATGAAATTATGTTTAAAAAGCATCACAATTTCACAAAGTAAATAAAAAGAAAAAAATTTTAAATAAAATAAATTATAATAAATAAAAATTTTAAAATTATTAATTAATTTATATTAAATTTGGAAACAATATAAAATTTATTGTGCACTAACATGAATCTTTGAAAAGCAAGAAAAAATAGTATATATTAATGGAAATTATCAAAAATAAAAAGGCAAACAAGAATTTAAATTAATTAAATATATTTCATTAATTAAATATGATAAAAAACTATAAAATATTTAGAAATAAATAATACATTATGAAAATAATAGTAATTAAGACATCAAAACTTAAAAATTATCAAAGAAAATTTTAATATGAAGAATATATACAGACTTGGCCAAAAGTATTAGGCACCCCACTAATTACTGAATATTCTGTTTTAACCAGTTAATTAATGAAGTTTTATTTATAAATCAGTGAAAATACAATGAATTAATGATAATAACATTAATATTTAGTGGGTCCACCCTTCGGTTTAATAACGGCAGCAATTCTCTTAGTCATACTCTATACAAGCTTTGCCCATTCGTCCGCACTTATAGCGTACCACTCGTCAATTAAGGCATTCTTTAAGGCAGTTTTTGTTGTTATACTGTGTTCCTTAATCTTGCGTTTTAAAATAGCACATTGAGCACGGGATTAAGATCTGGAGACTGTGTAGGTCAATCAAACAAAACAACGTACCAACGCATCGTAGTCGCTGATTTGTGACGAGGAGCCTTGTCTCGCTGAAATTGAACCCCGTCTAAATTAGTATCGCTGAAAATGCGCGTTAACGAAGGCAGAAGAACTGCTTCTAATACATTTATGTATTTTTGACTGTCCATGCGACCCTTGTAAACGAATATTTCGCCGACCATCAGCAGCCATGCAGCCCCAGATCATAATGCTGCCTCCTCCATGCTTAACAATGGGTACCACACAAACTGGATGATATTCTTCCCCAACCCGTCACACCAGGTGTTAAAAATATCTGTAGAAAAGAAAAAATAATGTTTTCATAAGATTTGTATTATGTCTTCAAAATTGCTCTAGGCTACGAGGCTATGACTGTTAATACTTTGCGACGATCTTAACTAAGCTTACCTCGAAGTTTGATTCATCAGACCACAGAACATTCAACTAATCTTCTGCCATGAAATGTTGGTATCGGCGAGGCCATTATATATATAATTTTCGCTTTGAAATCGCTGAAGCGATTTTCGCCCAGCTCCTCCTCCAATTCGTGGTTTTGCGTCTTGATGTTTTTCCAACAAATGAAGGGATCTATGCTAAGCCGCCTCCGAACGGCTGATGGTTTTTGTTATGAGGAGCTTCATTTCATGTCAGAAATACACTGGGGGGTTGACATTCCCTGTCGAGGGGCGACCACAATAAGAAAATTTAAATAAATTTTTTATTTAAATTAATTTTCTATAATTTTTGGATGTTGGTGGCGAACCCATTCCAAACGATTTTTCCTATTCTATTCTGAGAGCCACAGCTTCTTGCGTCCAGGAGTCTCCTTCAAACTGTTCGAGCACTAACTAGCTTACTAAATTCATCCGAAAGGGCAGCTGCAAGGGCAGAAGAAGATTTTTTGCGATCCTTGAGGAACTCGCGTATAAGTATTCGGTCTTCTCTTTTACTGGTTAGACGCTTTCATCGTTAGACGCTTTAATGAAAACTTATTGATTAAAACTATTTTAGGGAATAATAGAGGAATTTTCGAAATGAAAAAAAAAAAAAATTATATTGAAAGCACGAATCAGTTCGGCCCGTTTTTTGTGTTCAAAAAAGTGCCGATTCAAAAAATAAAAACTAAAAATTATATTATTTAAAGTATTGTCCGTTGGAAGCGACTACTTTTAGCATCTCTGGAGTAATTTTCGAATACAAACTTTATATAAGCAATCCTCTCTGTTCTCTTTCCAATCATTCGCTTGTTTCAAAATACCCGAAACGGTGAACTACAAATCGTCGAAAAAGCCACTTGTCGGAAGGATAAGGGTTTGGAGAATATGGTGGGCGGGGTGGTCGATAACATTTTGTATTAATGGTTTGGGCTGATTTTTACCGCTCATAGTACACTACAGCCCCAGTAGGGCGTCAAAATTACCATTTTTAAGCTTTAAAACCACTTGTAAGCATGACTTATCGGCCGGCACAGATTCGCCAAAAAATTTTCGTAACAATTCGGCGGGTCTCAGCTGCATTTTTGTTCCAAATAAAATTGAAATTAAATAAGCAATCGCTCCGAAAATATGCCCCAACCTGCAGATGGAACCACCTATTGAGAACGGACCGAATTAACAAATAAATACGCATAATCACAATTGTCCATATAAAATATATGTATAAAATGAAAAACATATTAATAACGTTAAAATATGTGTTTAAAATATTTCTTTATTTTTCATTTATCTTTTATGCTTTTCAAATTATTTGTCTTGCAAACAAAACTAAAATTTTCTAAGCTCACAACCAAATAATTCGCTACGAAACTACGATTAACCAGTCCCCTCTTTAACAAACAGCCTCTCCCTGTGCTCTCAATCTCGCCCCATAGATAACGATTGCAAATCGAGCGAAAAATCCGAGAAGTCCATGAATTCGAATGATGGCTGTACGCTAACGCAACAGCAACAGCATCAGCAACAACAACAACCAAACCAAAATGCCCAACAAACACAGCAGCAGCAACATCAACAAGCCAATCAATCATTATTATCACATCATCACCTTCATCAGCAGCAACAACAACAATCACATCATCAACTGCGACAACGCTCGGAAAGTCCTAATTTTAAACGTGAACCCCAATCGGATCGTGATAGTCCACTCGGTCGTCATAGTGTCGATCGTTTGGAGCATTGCGAACGTGATGAGCACCCCGAACGCGCAGCACGCGGCGAACACTGCGGCGGTGCCGGCGGCGAGCGGTCGGAACGTGATTGTGTCGGCGAGGCAGCTGCTATTGAGCGTTCGTTGAGTATGCCACCCACGAGCCAATCGGCGGAGGGCAGTTTGGCGGCGGCAGCAGCAGCAGCTGCAGCAGCGGCTGCGGCTAGTGGTGGTAAGGCACCATGGAATTATCCAGGCATCGAATTGATGGCCTCCGGCGCCTTCTGGCAGAACTATTCGGGTGAGTTGAGTTGGGGAATTGTTATTTTGCTTTCGAAGTATAGTTTAAATTGAAAGCTTTTGAAACTTGCTTTGAAGATTTATATCTCTTGAGGTTCTCTTTTTGGGCTTATTTAAATGGGTACCCTGCCATCGTAAGTTAAAGCCAAGCTCTTGAGGTATGCCAGAGAACTCTAATGAGCTATTGAGTTTTTTATGGAACCGGTCAGTTCGGGTGGCTGAAATAAATAGTTCCCATACAACTGATTGTCCAGAAATGTGGCATCAAATTATCGAGATGGATATGCACATATGTTTATAAAAAGTTATAGCATGACGTGACGAATTTCAATTCAGGGTTGAGGTATTTTTATGAAAATTGGTTCACACATGAATGAGGAAAATCAGACCGATTTCAGTAAACAAATGACAACGAAAGTCGTATTTGTTAAATCAAATTGTATGAGGAGCTGAAAAAATTCGGTTGGACGTGACACTACCCACTTTTGGGTATCAAATACCTCTAAGCGGAATTAATACTTATAAAACCTGTCTCGTAAACGTAAAACCTGTCTTTATCGGAAAATTAGTTCCTACCAAAAACGATTGATATAGGTTGCGTAAAAGACTTTCTATTTTTCATCTATTTGTGTTCGGTTCTCCTCGAACTTTGTCTTTTTTACAATTTCTTAATTTGTATATATACAATTTTTTAACGTTCATATTTTTCTTTTATCTTATCTTTACAGAGTCTTTGGCGCAAGAAATCGAATTGGAGCGCAAAACACGAGCCGCCAATGCCGAACGTGATGTAAAAAGTCCACTTACCGATCGTCCGCCGGCGTACTACAAGAACTCGGTGCTCTTCGGTGGTGCTAATTAAGATGTAAAAAGTGAAAAGTTCATTTTAGATCTTCAAAAAAGGACAACAACAAGAGTATGGGGTGAGAAAAATTGATTTGCCGACGACTACTAAAACAAGCGAAAACGAATAAAAAAAATGTTGCAAAAGAGTAAGAAAAATTAATGATTTCTTAGAAATGATCTCAAAGTGCAATCACATACAAATAAACAAAAATTCTAAAATAATAAAAATTGAAGAATAATGTGAAATCCAGTGAGTTGTGGAAAATCTACTGAGACAAAAATTGTAGCATGAAGAGTAAACCAAACGCGTAGTCACATATAGTATACGTGAGGGATAAAAATATGATAGTACGAATGTATTTGTGAATTAAAAAAAAAAGAAAGAAAAAATAATGGAATTTTCAAACAGCATTTACGAGTAGTAAAGAAGTACTTACTAAACTAGTTACCAGTGAAACACCTGCGCGCATACACATACATATGCATATGTAGGTGAGTAGTTGTATATAGTCAAAAGCCTAGAGATGGCAGCGTCTTTTTCTCCTCTTTTAAATGTATATAAATATTTGTAATTATAATTTTGCGAAAATTAAAAAAGAAAAATAAAGCTTAGCAAATTTTTTAATTCTTCGGTTCAGTTAGAAAGTAAGCTATAATTAAATAAATCGAAATAAATAACAAAAAGAAATGCTTAAGCTAAAAGGAAAGTAGCAGCCACAGTTGTGAAAGTACTAGGCATATGAGTATGTTTGTAGTGCGTAAAAAATAATTAATTGTACATGCGCTTTTGAAAAGCGTTATAATTAAAATAAAAAGTAAATAATTATTAATAAAAGTAAAACACAAAAAAAAAAAAAATATATTTGTAAAATGTTCATACTTTTATTTTGGTAGGTAATTAGGTTTGTAAGCTAGTGCGTATGGCTTTCTCGTAGTAAGTATATACTTACATACATATGTAAAAATAGGTTAATTTTGAAAAAAGTCGAAATTCTAAGCTTGCCGTAGAAAATGCTAAAAGATCGCGTTAAAATCGTTCACAGCCTATTTAAGAAAATAATAGCCAGCGAAATTTGCAACATACATAGCTTCCTTTAAATTTAACGGTAATAAAAACGAAGTTCTATGCACATAAATACTTACGTACTGTAATTATTTACGTTCATATATATACCGTATAAGCTAAAATTTCATTTTAAGTAGTTGAGTAATTATATAATATATATCTGTAAGCTACTTTAAAACCAAAATAAATTACTATAAGTAATTACATACATATGAGCATTGAAATTAAATATTTTGCACTTAATACACATCATCCTTTTTTCGAAATATCTTTATTATTAAATAGTATTGCTTGTTTTACTAGTAAAGAACTGCGAGTGTTGTTGCTTGCAACAATGTTTCGTTTTCAAAAAACAAAAAAAAAAATTAAACATTTAAGTTTTTAACTAAACAAATTAAAATATATTTTTAATTATTGTATATCATTTTTTATGCCTAAATATGTTCTTTGAAAATGTATATAAATTTAAAAAAAGTATATTTTTTGTTTTTATAATTTTTCTTTTTACCAAAATTTGTTTCTAAAAAGTTTTTTTTTTGCCGCAAGTGCTGATTTAATTTTTTTCCTAAATTTTAAAAATATTTTTATGAGGGTTCCATAGAATGTTTTCAAAAAAAAAATTAAGGAATTTCCGAAAAAAAAATTTGGAAACAATTTTTTGAACTCTCTCTCAGCTTAAGTTGTCTTGTCAGAAATATAGTTTTATGGAGCTTTCGAAATATTGTTAATTACAATTTGGGAAAAGTATGAGGTTTATGCAGTCTCTGTGTGAGTATTTAAAATTTTATCAAAAGTTCGTATACCATATCGGAAGCTTTGAAACCCATTAAGTTTCTTTTTTCTACTGATATATTTATATTATTTTATTTTTTATCTTAAATATATTAATGCAATTTTTTTATTACGTTTTACTTAATTTCATTTTGTTTGCTTCATTTTATTATCCTATATTTTTTTTATTTTATTTTTCGTTTCTTAAATATTTTTAAGATTTATTTATTTATCTAATTTAATTTATTAATTTTAGTTTTAAACTCATTTCTTAATTCATTTGTGATTTTTATTTATTTTATTTCTTTTATTTATTTTGTTGTTTAATTTTGATAAATATTCAGATATTATTTTTTATTTAAATATGTTTTGCGCTTTATTTATTAATTTCATTTAATATAATATCATATATTGTAGTTAAATTTTTTATATTATTTTTTTACTTTATTTTATTAAATTCAAAATAATTTAATTTTTCATTTAGTTTTTTTTGTTTAATTATATTATTTTATTAATTTTTTTATATATTTTTATTTTAATTTACTTTTTATTATTTTATTTTACTTTATTTGATTTAATTTAATTTTATTTTTTCCACTTTATTTCAAATTAGTTTAATTTAATTTTATTTATTGATATTTGTTGACTTTATTTTATATAATAATTTGTTCATTATGTTCTATTATTTTACGCAATTTTTTTATTTTATACTTCCTTTTATATTTATTGTTTTATTTTATTTTTTTTATTATACATTTTTTATTTTAATTATTATATTTCAAATAACTTAGTCATATTTTTCCCTTTATTTTACTTTACTTTAATTTTTTTGTATTTATATTATTTTCATTTATATATTGTATTTAATTTTGTTTTATAATATTTTATTTTTTGCCATTTTATCTAATCTTTTAATTTTATTTTACTTATATTTTATTAAATTATATCTAATTTTTTATTGTATTTATTTTATTCCATATTAATTATTATATTCTATTTAACTAATTTATTTTTTGCACTTTATTTTACTTTAATTTAATTTATATTATATGACTTTATTTTATTTGATTTATTACAATTTATTGACTTTAATTAATTTTATTTCATTTAATATTAATTTGAGTTTTCTTCATTTAATTTAATTTAGTTATATATATGTAATTAATTTCATTTTAGTCACGAATTTGAGGCCAATTTCTAAAAATTCAGTGAAATCAAAACACAGCTCACTCTCAGTTCTAGAACACAATTTAATACATTGCTACATATACCAACAAAAATATAGTTTAAAGCTATACAAAAAAAAAATAACACACATAAAACACAAACGCTTGTAATAAGTAGCAGTATTTAATAAAAAAAATTAAATTAATATGAATTTAATATTAATATAAAAGATCCGAAAAATAATCATAAACTAATTTTGAATATTATATTTCAATAAAATAATTAATTATAATTGAATTAGAAACGTTAAGGGCATTTGAAAAATTTCAAAATATTATAAAGTTAGATATTAATTAAATTATATAAATACTTATGTACTTAATAAGCGTTTAAGTGGGATGGAAAAATAATAAAGAATGAGCAGAATATAAAATTAAATTATAAATACAGAAAAATGATTGCATTAACAATAATTAAATACAATTAAACATCATAAAATAACGCATAAATACTTGTAGTAACATAAAACACGCATACATACACACACACACACACACATGCATATGAACAATGTAAACATGGTACGAACACATAGCAACCGATTAGCAATTATAAATAAATATAACTAAATAAAAACAACTATGAATTCCATACATACATAGATGCATAGCATATATACCTACATACAAGCATACATAGTTACCCCCTTTTTGATTGCTTCGCATTGAAATGCAAAATAATTAATCAAAACAAAAATGAAACAAACAAGTAAAGAAGAGCGCAAATAAATCGAACATAAGGAAAATGCAAAAATATTAAACTATTATCAAACAATTAAATAATGCTGCAGTAATATAAAAACAAAAACAAAATACAATAAATTATTATTATTATTATTAAAATAAAAAAGAAATTCAAAAAATGTTTTATTCAATATTTGAGTCTTTTAAAAGTGGATGAGGTTGGTTACTTAAGTACATATGTATATGTACACGTGTATGTGAATAATACATAAATTAAAAAAGATAATTAGAACTTTATGTGGAGGACAACAGTCTTAGATATTCGGAGTCCATAATTTTCGTAATTCTTCGAAAGAAATTTCGTAAATTTTTCATTGGACAAGTTCTCCAAAAATCTTGATTTGATGGTTAGTATTTACTACAGATTTACCGACGGAATTTATCGTGGAGCTCCGATATAAGAGAGCTTTACCATTTTACTTATTACTACTCCGATGAACTTTTCATCGTTTTTGTTTGATGGAAACTAGCGATGGCTGAATCCTATTTCAAAATACTATTGGATGAGTGCACAAGTTCGTGCCTGATTCCGCTGGATGCCGTTCGAATCGTTTGAGAGTGGCGCTCATGAAAGAAATATAAAAATATTATATATCGTTGGAAAGGTGACAGTCCGAACTGTAAATCAAGCATAAAATAACTTCATTTTGATATGAGTTGCTTAGTGAAAAGACGCATGGAATATGGACAACGAAAAAGATCATATGCGTCATATTATGTCATACGAATTCCGCAAAGGAAAAACAGTAGGCGCTGCAACTAAAGATATTCGGGAAGTTTATTTTGACCGTGCTCCAGCACTCCGCATAGTAAAGAAATGGTTCGCGAAATTTCGTTCTGGAGATTTTAACCTCGAAGATCAACCTCGCAGTGGATGGCCTTCTGAGCTTGATGACGATGTTCTAAGGACTTCAGTTGCACTTGAAATCGGGTACGAACTTATGCACTCATCCAATACCATGTTCAAATGGCTTTTAGAATGTTAACCTACTGGATAGAGTGTGTAATGAATATGACGTTGCATAATACTGATTACAGAGAGTTGTTTTCAGATTTCATTTTAGAATTGCACAATAAATAGATTTCAGGTAAGTAACACGCTTACTACATGGCGACCAAACTTGATAAATAATCTCGAAACATTATGAAAGAGCTTTAATATTATATACATATATAGTATAATAATGACTGACCTCGCTCCTGAAAGTTTTTGTGCGCGAAGGTACTTATCAAAATGTGCTTTCTGATTTCTTCCACATGAGAACGTGAAGTGTCAACGAACTGCCAGGGCATGGCATTTGCGAAAAACAAGTTGTTGTCAAAAATCTGCACGAAGAATATTCAAGTTTAAGCAATGAGGAATCAAAATGCACAAAAAGTAGTTGATAAATAATGATATAAGAAAGAACCCATGCTAAAATGAGATTTTCCTGTACAAAATAATTACGAGATTTCGTTATTGAAGACCCTCTATAGGCAGACACGGCGAAGTGAGCATTCTGGTACCGAAGTAAAAAATGTAGAATTTTAAGCGTAACAGTTCCCGATATTTAGACTTCATGACATAAATATTTCTACGTAAGATATTTTTACTGGTTTATGTTACATTTGTCAAAAAAACCGTCCTCGAAGGTAAGTATGCAAGTATTTCACAGCAGGAATCATTTATTGATTATTGCACAATTTCTACTAGTTCCAAAAGGATTATAAAGGTTTCCTGACATTCCTTCCCGGGGGCGACCGCATTTAGAAAAATAATTTTTCGAAAATTTTGTATATTGGTCCGAACAGAACCGGAACATAAGTACGCACTGGTAATCCCTAATCTATTTTATATAAGACATCCATGAAATTTTTAATTGAGAACCGAGAAAATGTATAGCTTTTGTTGCACCGGTAAGTGCGAATACATTTTGCGGGTAGACATAAAGAGCCAACATCCACCGGCATAGGTATTTATCAATTATTTCATAAGAAAAAATAT